GATTATTTTTCCTCAAAACGTCCAAAACAGGGTATTCTCCTACGGAATAATCGATTATCTCGTGAAATAATCGATTAAATGCCTCTAAAAATCGATTATTCTATGGAAATAATCGATTAAAGTTGTCTAATGTAGAGATAATTGATGAATTTTCTTTTGTTATTGTCTTGATGTTGTAAAATATGATGTTTCTTTCATGCTATGATTGAGGGGGAGCTTTCTCTAACTTATGCATATTTTGAGGGGGAGCTCTTATGATTGATGTTGCGAGTTCTTTTTGATTATAATCAAAATAGGGGAGAAAAATTTAAAGCCTATGATTCAATATTAAATGTTATACTGGTATGTTTAATGTGTTTGTTAGTATGACGGATGAAACGAGGTTATTACAAGGGCTTTAAAAAGATAATTTTGATCATCATCAAAAAGGGGAGATTGTTGAACATTCAAGGACTTGATGTTGCAAATAATGATCATGAAGAATGTTGATTTTGATGATGATCCAAGAGCTTAAAGACTTAGAGTATTGAAGATTGAAGATTGATGTTTTACGTATTGTAATAACTCTGTTTTAGTTTGATTGAGTCTGTAATTATAGAGTCTAAGATAGCCGGTACATAGTCCGTAACTTAGAAGCTTCAAAATGCTCAAATTTATCATGCAGGCTCGGCTTTAATCGATTATATAGGGAAATAATCGATTAAAACAGTGAGAAAACCATTTTCAAGCATATACTCACTGTTTTAATCGATTAAAACATCAAAATAATCGATTAAAAGGTCAAATAATCGATTATCTCACCAAATAATCGATTAAACCGAAGAGGATTGGGTTCTGCGTATTTGGCTCTGTTTTAATCGATTAAAACTCCATTTAATCGATTATTTCGATCTGTTTTTGTTTTTAAATTTCAAATTAACCCTATTTTCGAAAACCCAATTACCAAGAACCCTAGTTTCGAAATCTCCAATTCCTTAACCCTAATTTCCCTACTTAAACTCTGCTTTGGCACTCAGAAAAGAGAGAACAACTAAAGAACAACTCTTTCCATACAAAAGTTAAGTGCTTGTGAGTGCCGAGAAGCTGTTTGTTGCAAGGAAAGGGGGCTTTTGGAAACTTCGGTGTGAGGCTAGAAGCGATAAGAATCACTAAGTGGAGTTCTTAGTGGATTGAGTGCTGTGTCTGATCTCCGGGAAAAGCTGTTCTTCGGGGCTTTTGGAAACTTGGTGTGAGGCTAGAAGCGATAAGAATCACTAAGTGGAGTTCTTAGTGGATTGTGTCTTTGTCTCAGTCTCCGGGGAAAGCTGTTTATCATCTCTTGTGGATTTCAAGAGAGGTTTTATCTTTAACTTTATCTTTTTCATTATAATTTGTGTTGTAACAACTTTGTTCTTAGTGACAGCGTTAATCCTCTTTTGAGTGATTAGCAACTGGACGTAGGGTCTTTTGATCCGAACCAGTATAAACCTATTGTGTAATCTTCTCTACTCTTCTCTATTTACATTTACGCAGTTTTTAATCGGTAAAATTTGGGGAAAATTTTGAAAACCTAATTTTTATTAAGAAACCAATTCACCCCCCCTCTTGGTTTTTGTCCGACCACGCGAACATTCCGCTGCGCGATTCTAACATAATCATCATATTAACACCATTGTCATATGTATGCACTTTATTTAACTATAACAACTTAATATCTAAAGCATCACGTATCCAATGATACCTCACATCAATATATTTGGATCTAGAATGAAGAATTTGATTCTTACTAAGATGAATAACATTCTGACTGTCCACAAATAATAGATAAATGTTATACACAAAACTAAGCTCCTGCAAGAATTTCTTCAATCATAACAACTCATTATATGCTTTTGTAATGACAATGAACTCTGCATCTGTAGTAGATAATGCTACACATTTTTGCAATCTTGATTACCAAACCACAACTCCCCCTGTAAACTTAATCAAATAGTCCGAGGTGGACTTTCTGGAATTAATGTCTCAAGCCATATCTGAGTCTGAGTAACCCATTAAAATGGGTTTATTACCTCCAAAACAAAGTTTCAAATCACTAGTATCATGAAGATACCTCAAAATCCATTTCACAGTATTTCAATGTTCTCTACCTAGATTTGACAAGAAACGATTGATTATACAAACAACATGTGCAATATTAAGTCTAGTACATACTATTGCATACATCAAACTGCCCATTGCAAATGTATAAGGAACTCTACTCATATATAATTTTTCAACTTCATTTGAAAGACTCTACTTAACACTCAATTTAAAATGAGTTGTAAGAGGAGTGTTCACTACTTTAGGATTTTCTATCTTGAATCTCTGCAACACATTCTTAATGCAGTGCTCTTGTGATAGTCAAATCTTCTTTTCACTTCTATCACGAATAGTTTATATATATCTTTCTCTCTCAACCCACCAAGACATCTTTTAAGAACAAAACCAAACTAGAGTTCCAAATATGGATATGTAAAATACATGATTTCCAATCCTAGCATGAAAAGGGGGAACAAATACTCAATTTCAAGTGAGAAGTGAGTAAACATAATTTCATACTAAATATCATATATACATATAGAATTTTGTGGAAAGTTGTATGCACGGCTTGGAGGAAGATCTTTCATATATTTCAATATCCACCCTATAATATGGGGCCAAAAAACCAAAATAAATGATTTTAGACAATACCTTAGATTATGAATTGATCCTAACGATGTTATTATAACAGAAGGTCAGGATACTCTCATTCTTATACAAACATTAGCATCCACCATAGGACCGAAGATAAAGTCTCGTTCCACTCCATACCACGTAGTCCTTGACTAAAAAACTATGTTTCAATATGCTTATGTTTATGAGTCTCACATCGCTTAGGAGCTGAGACCAATGGTAGTTTATATAAACTCTCATTTCTCTGTTAGATCTTTCAAAGGTGATTCATTGGGGAGAGACAATATCAATGAGACATGAACCCAACCTACATAAGAGATTGACACTATCTTCAACAAAAAACCTTAAGACATTATGTTATATATCTTTTTTTTCTTATATGTTACTTTAACTTTCTCATTCTTACTCAATGAGAGACTTAGACTCACTTGGATTTCTCAACTATCTCTCCCTCAAGTGTGAGTCTTTTCACATATTTGTTAGAAAGACTTTCGATATAGGGACTACTTTTAAAATGTTGGTCACAACATAAACCATCTACTTTGATACCACTGTTGGGTCTTTTGAGAGGGGGTTTATTAGGGAGAGACAAAACCAATGAGACATGAACCCAACTCACATAAGATATTGACATCATTTTCAACTAAAAACCTTAAGGTATTAGGTTATGGGTCTTTCTTCCTTAAATGTTGATCAATTTCCTCATTCTTACTCGATATGGGGCTTGGACTCACACTCTCACTGAGGCGCCTTTTTAAGGACAAAACTATAATGGATTAGAGTTTCAAAACAGACAATATCTCGAATATGAGAATTAATCCTAACGATAATATCATAGCAGACATGAGGTCGAGACACTCTTTTCCTATACGGAACATTGGTGCCCATTGTGAGACTGAGAATATATTCTTGTTGTACTTATACCCCTTAGTCCTCGACTAGGAAACTATGTTTTGATATGTTCATAAGTCTGAACATATCAGAACATTGACTGAGAGTATATTCTTGTTGTAGTTATACCTTTTAGGCCTTAACTAGGAAGCTATGTTCTGATATGTTCATAAGAGGTCGAGACACTCTTGTTTCTATGCAGAAATTGGTGTCCTTTGAGAGACTGAGAGTATATTCTTGTTGTATATCCAGAAGTACCCACAATCAGCTATTAGTTATTTAAAATTATTTAATACTTTTAGAAATAAAATTATTTAAATAAAGTTATTAATAAGGAAAAATATTAACTATTAAAAAATTAATTAGAATTAAAATATATAGATTTGTATTTTTTTATTTAAATTTATAAAACTAAAGTTATTTTTAAATTTAAAATTATTTTTTATATTATAATTTATTAAAATTAATATTTTATAAAGACTAATTTGATTTATATTAATATTTTATGCTTTAATTTTATTTAAATTATATTTTTTAAACAAAAAATATTAAAATATATATTTTAAAGAATAACTTTTAAATAATTATATTTAAATAAAAATAAAAATTAATAAAAAAATCCACGAATATAAAAAAAATTGTGAATATTTTTTAAAGGGATCCCCTAACAAGGTGGGTAAAGCTGAAGATGTCAAATTTCATTTGTTTCGTTATAAGCATGGGATGCACCTAAAAAAAAGCATATCTTGAATTGCATATATTGAGAGTAATCACTAGGGTAAATTATAGGTAGGAAAGAAAAAAGAGAGTGAAGAAATAATATCCCTCATTGGGAAATGAAACCACTAATTTTGATTGAATAGATAGTATAAACGAAGAACATGGGGAAGTCTTATCTTGTAGTGTGGAAGTCTTATAACTAAAAATGCTAATAGCGAGGTTCAACCGACAAGAGTTGATCCATGTAAAATGTAGATGAACCACTATGACAGTTCCTATATATATATATATATATATATATATATATATATATATATATATATATATACATGTATATGCAAGAACTCTTAGATAAAAAAAAGGTGTAGATTGAATTTTTTGGATTGTAAGAAATACACTCTGCTTTTTTATTCATGTAGCGAGACAAATGGCATAAAATATACGCTCTTGGCTCTGATTACGCAGGCAGCACTACAAACAAGAGTTACTGAAATAATCAAGACATCATTGGAGTGCAAAACGGTTAATTGAAAAACTGCCAATGGCATTTCCCATTGCAAATATACGACTGTACAAAATATTAACATGATATGAACTTAAAAACTTCAACCCCCTGTACCACTCGATTCTATTTCGAAATAACTCCTAACCTAAAAATGTAATACATTATATTTTGTACCCTCCCCTACCGAAGTTTCTCATCCAAATCCAAAACCCTCACTTCCCTCGTGAACTGCCAGCAGTAGCCTCTCTTCCAAATGTTGTTTAGATGGATACTCCGGCAAATCTAATTGATTGAAACTGCGTGAAGAAAAATCCGTCTTAGATTATTTCAAATCACACGACTACAATGATCCATCAAAAGATAAATATAGCTTGTAGCTTACATTATGATACATGGATACAATATCAGATACAAATCGTATCCGATACAAAGATACATTTACTATTAAATAAATTAAAAAAAGTAGGATACGGACATGTATTTAAAAATGTAATACATGGATACGATATTAGATACAAATATACCGAAAAAAAAAGAAAAATAAAAGATACGGATATATATATATATATATATATATATATATAAAAGATATTTATAAAACTACAATCATGCAAGTTCAAATTTTAAATATTGTAAAAATAAAAAATATAATATAATTATCATAATATTTTCTGTTATTTTCGAATAATATTATATTTTCATTAATTTCTTAAAATATGTTTCGTAGGATTGGATATTTCATTGATACGTATCAATGAAGTATGGGTAAAGTATCCAACACAATACATATAAGATTCGTGACGCAAATTGAAGTATCAATGCTTTATAGCTTAAAGATAATCACAAGTGAAAGCAAAGGAATTTGGAAAAGGGCAAAAGGGCCTACCAAGTATGAGCAGAAGGCAAGTGATCAGGACTTCCATATGCTTTGTGTATCTGAAACTTCTGGGAGCCTGAAATTCCTTGGAGAGCGCTAAAGCCTTCCAAAGGCACCTGAAAAGTTAGTAGTAAAAGTCAGACCCCCATAGGGCATTGTCAATGTGACAACATCATTAAGATATCATAATAAAGAGTCCCTCAAATAAAAAGGTAAATATTATATTTCAAAGTACAGAGAAACCTTAGATCCAAGGTTTGTCAAAATCAAAACCTTACGGGGAGACGTATGAAAAATATCGTGAAATTGGAACATAAATCTTAAGATCTTACCCAAATTATAGAAATATATTTTCATATAAAAACGATCAACTAATACAAATATTCTTTTAAATTCAGGGAAGACTTGATATAATATTATTTTATATTCAATAGCAATTACCTAAAGGAAAAATAGAGAAGCAGAAAGAGAAAAGATAAGAAAATTACTTTAGGTATCTTTTATTCAAATGAAGGCCACAAAAGCCAAATTTGTGGGTTTCAAGAATAAAAAACCGAAAGAGCTTCTTCAGCAGTTCAGTCAGCCCTAGTAGAACACTAACAGACCAGAAAGAAAAGAGACACACTGATGCCTCATCAGTGGCCAAACATAATATAGACAAGTCAATCCAAGGGAGCAGAGAACAAATCGAGGTGATGACTTAACAAAATCTAAAAGTTTGGGGAAAGGATTTTGAATGCTGGTGTTAGAGAAGGCTTCAAAATTCAATGGCTGGCAGCATAGAAGGGATCTAGGGAAAAACAAAATGAGTTTGGCTTTCAGGTTACCCAAACCAACAAAAGCCCATAAGTACAACCAGCTATTTCACTCCAGCGGAGAGGCTTACAAAATGATCGAGACCTTACAATTCTATGATTTTAATAACAATTTGGTTACACAACTAAGATCCTTGTATGTATTCAGGAATAAAATTCAGTCGACCTCACATCTCAGATCACGCAAATTTTAGCTATCAGAAAAGTATGAGACTCACTCATAACCTGCAGCATATCTCCATGACTCACTCTTGACTAAAAGAATTCAGAAATAAATTGAATAGATGATCACGTGCAATTTCATGCAGATAGTATGAAATGTGTTCAAATGTGCAAAAAAACAAGAAAATGAGTAGTAGCCTGTAAAACATTAAAGTATAAAAGGTCCTGGATAGCAACATACCTTTGATGTGCCTGTCACAAACTGCAAAAGCCGGGCCTTGTCTTCTTTACTTAAACCTTGAACAACCTCCCAAAACCATTGGATAACTGGCGATGCAGCACTATATCCAGTATATTCAGTATTTGCTCTCAAGTCATCCACTGAAATAAATTAAAAACAGTATGGTTAAATTTGCCCATCCATGCAAATTATATGTCTCCGGGGGAGAGCAATAAAAAATTAATCACATCTGTTAAAAGATAATGTAAAGGACTGAAAATCTTACAATCAATATCAGGAAGTCCACTGATCAATAATTCCAGCTCTTTGTCATTGAATATCGATATCAACTCCCTGGGAATCAATTCATTGAACCCTTCCAAGAAAGAATTTATTTGAGGTCGAATAGCAGTTGTCAACCGATGCTCAGCAACCAAATCAACATATTGATGTTTATTCTCCTCGGTAACTTTGATATTTCGTCCACCAGGAATCAACTCATAATCAGTCACCTGGACATGTTCATGATTAGACCATAATAATGCATAATCCAATATTTCATCTCAGTTTCACTAGCATAGTTAATACCTCTGTTCGTTCATATAAGATCAATTTTTCCTCATCTGCATCAATGCTAAAAGTAAGATCCAGAACATCACTGATATCGTTCTGCAACCATACCAGAAAAATCATCACAATTTGAACAAAAAAATAAGTGCGCTTAGAGTACACACAAAGGGAGAGACAGAAACTAAATAGATGCACTTGCCTCAAGCATCCATTTCAAATTTTTGAAATAATCAGGGTCAATGGCTTCAATATCATGGTATGTAACTTTGACCCCAAGAATGTGCTTGTAAAATGACCGAGTAAAATGAACATCCAAGAGTTGACCATCAAATAATGCTTTTCCAACCTGGATAAGATAGAAAGGGGTATAAAAATAATCATATATGACAAATAAAATATTCAGAACAGTTTCAAAGGGACTCACCACTCTACCAACAAATTTGAAATAAGATAAATGTTCTGTTTGGTATACAGAGTTAGGGTTTGGCTGAAATGTTGATTCGTTTCCTACTGTAGTAAAAAGCAGTGCGCCTCTATCAAAAATAACTCTGGACAACAATTGATACCATTCCCTTGTAAGCCCACCAGCATCAATGCCCTCCTCCCCTTGGAAGTGAACCGTCAACCTTCCCTTCAAATCTTGAGTTGATCTCATTCGAAGCTGGTTATAAGAATCTTCAAGAACATATGCCCTTCTCACAGATATTCTCAAGGGGCTATGGTGATTATCATGCTGATGCTTAATTTTTGATCGGAAGTGGGCCCGCTTGTTATCAAAATCAATGAATCTTGGAACCTTCAGCATGAGTGAGAAGGATTTCTCGAGCAAACCAGGGTTTTGCCTTATAAAAGCATTTAGTAGCTTCCTATGCTTCTCTGAGAACCTTACAAAAGGCACATGTTTCTCATCTATTTTGGCAGAAGTTCCATATGCTTTCTGCGGAGTTGCAGATGTGCTAGCATACTCAACATCAGAAATAACAGGAATACTTGACTCATGACTAGCACCTGGCTGAGCAGGATGCAATTTCTCACAGACCACAAAGAAAGATTCAATGTAAGGTAAGATATTTTGAGAGCCAGCTGGTAGTGGAGACATTACACCAGACGGTTTAGACACAAATGTACTAGAAGATGTCAAAGACTCAGAGGCAGACTCTGAGTAGAATTCTATCTTGCTTATGCAACAGCTCAGCTCATGCCACAAGGGCTCTAATGCTGAATTGATTTCCCAAACCTCCGACAGAGCAGAAGTACCTTTATCATTTTCTTTCCCAGTCAGTAAGATGACAAGTGAACTCAAGGCTTGCAAAACCCTCAAAATTGAAGCTCCATCAGTAGATGTCGTACTGAGCAGGGTTTGCATTGCTTCACCAAAGACTCGTAACTCATTCATTGCAGATGAAGTCAACTTTTGAACTGCTTCTGCCAGCTCAGTTACAAAAAGCTCACAATGAATTGGAGCAATGGCCACTAATTTCTTCATTACCTCCGCAACAAGAGTATATGCATTATCTGACAAACTGAGAGGAATGCACAAAATGTCAGATCAACTCCATGGTTACTTATTATAGCCAGAAGCTCTGATTGGTCATTATTTCAACAGTGGCATTACAAACTAAAAACCTAGCAAATGCACACAAAACTTTATTTTAAGGTACTTTAAAGCTTCTAAGTCAAGAGTTTTACCAGCTCCCACCCATTCCCTCTCAAAAATACAGGAGCTCCTAGTCATGATGAATATTTACAGAAAAAGTAGATATGTTGGCAACATGCAGAGGCCGAAGACATACCCTTCTTGCGCAAGCAGGGAGCACAGGAGCCTGAGTTCTGCTTTTGGAAGATTACTCAACACTCCATGTGAATCAGATTCAACATTATTACCAGAGGATGTGGGTTTGGAAGAACCCTCAACTTTAGCAGATGCATCATCCCCAGATGATAAAATAATAGAATCTGCATTCACATCAGCCTCCAGGGCAGAAATTTGTGGAGCTGACAGGTTATTAGATATCAGGGATTTCTCAGATGACTTGTTTCCAGCACTATCAATGATAACATCCAGTAAATTTAGCAGCTGAAACCACACCACAAAAAGACAATTATGTCAGCACTGTCTGAAACTCTGTTTGCACATGAAATTAAATGACGAAGATGCCAATAAAACCAAAGCATCACCTGCTCAAGATGGGCTATGCTCCGCAAATAAAGTGGTTGGTTCAAGAGACCTAGAAGCATTGCAATGGAGATGTGCCCTTCATCACTTTCACTTGTATTTTCTTCGCCTTCAACAACTATCACAGATTTTCCCCGAGCATCATCAGGTCCTTTTATTGCAGGACAAGGTAGTCTGAACTGAAGCAAAATTTTTGCCACGTACAGATGATTGCGAGCAAGATAAGTTAGAGTTTCAAGTATTCTACGAGACAGCAATGGAGGAACTCCTACATGATTAAACAATATGAAAGGTATTAATAAATTCATCTACCAAAAATTGACCAAATATTAAAAATGGACATCCAGTATGAAAAAGCTCATGAAATAAGAAAATGAAAGACATTTCAAAAATCTTAATTGGGAAGATTCACAGCCATAAGCACCAACGAGAAATTGTATTTATGTTACATAATCAAGACAAGGATCATTGTTCACAGTCACAACATAAATAAGATTCATCAAGTATTCTTACCATCAAAAGATTGAGGACGTGAATACATTACATTGACTTGACAACCATATAATCTATATGGTGGTTCAACTTTACTAAAATGACTGACAGGCCTCTTTACATCAAGCATTAGTAAGCCCACCAGAATTTTCACCAGCGAGGTTCTTGTTTCACTATGAGCGCAAAGATTTAAAAGAAGCCTCTGGAGTTGGCCCTTATAGAGTGGCTGCAAAAATTTAAACAACAAATTATAAAGAATGACACTAATTGAAGGACGTCTTTCAATCACAAATGAATACCTGCACTACTCGGAATAATCGAATCATAGCATGCAAAGCTTCTGTATCAACAAGAGGTGCTCCATCAGCTTCAACAACCTTAGTTCCACTGGACCAGCGAGAAGAAATGGTTCCCCCTGCTGCATCCAGACCAGAACCAATAACTTCTCGTCTTGAAGTCTCCCCTCTACGACTTCTCGGATACATACCAAACACAGTACGACTGTAACGATGTGCAAACCTCTCCCGCAACATATTTGCCTCAGCAACAAGAGCAGGTGTAAGATTGGCAAGGATAGTATCCGGTGATGTTAACAGAACCTGAAGAGGGGAAAAAACTTAAAACCACAGACAATATCACTTTTATATAATAACAGTGAACATACAAACTTGCCTCCTCTCGTAAATCTGATGGAAAAGTTGCAATTATTGAGACTGTATCCATTTCCACAGGTTGCCCTTCCAGCTCCTGAGACTGATGCAATCTTTGGGCTTGCTGCTGAGCTAGAACTTCTGCTCGAATGTCAGCTGGAAGAGCTGCAAGGAACTCAGGGTCAATATCCCCAGTGTTCTGTGACTCAACATTAGATGGCTGAGCTGCTTGACCCTGCTGAGCTGAGAGGACTTCAGCACGCAGCTCCTCAGGAAGAGCATCAAGAAAAGCAGGATCAATAGCTCCTGATCCTGCATCACTGTTCACCGGCTGCTCTGCTGCTGGACCATCTTGATCTGCATCTCGGCTTGAATTTTCTGAAACTTCAGTAACACTATGAAGGGACGCATCTCTTCCAACCACAGGAGAAAATTGACTCGAAGACACATTTGCTCTTCTTGTGCGTGAAGCCTGTGAATCACCTGCTATCCTATCAGCAGAAGCCTGCCTTTCACCACCATCGTCATGGCCATCAGCACTTCCAATCTCTACATCTAAGCTCCGAAGACTTTCACCAAAAGTTGCTCCACTGCCACTACTCTCCTGGCTAACAGCTTCAACATCTCTCACAGCCCCATCATTATGTTCAAATTGCATCTCAACTGCCTGTGAATGCGTCCTTAAAACATTTGCTTGTGAAGGACCAGTCCCTCCTTGTCTGGAATCCACATTGTTACTGTTATCAATGACTGAAGGAGTTGTTGTACTAACTTCCAGAATAGGATTACTTTCAACGGGCACATCTGGCCTTGCACCTCCTGCCTCTTGTGCCTGGGTGGTTCCAACTTTACCATGAGACCCTGCTTCAGCTATGTTGTGATTGGATGACTTCTCAGCTGTTGGTCGCCGTAATTGAGTAACAAGCAATTCTTCAAGGCCTTGTGGTACAACAACAGTGCTTGTCCCACCACTTTGCTGGGTATTATCAGTCCACAATTGCAATCGGTGTCCATGGCGTCCACTTCTCAGTGATCGAAATATATTATCCAAACCCACCGAGTTGTTATCTAATGAATTATCTGCAATATTTAAAAAGGATATGAAAAAGCCAAAATGTTATAATCAAGTTGTTTATAAATTATATAGCAATTGGTGCCTTTAAAAAACAAATGATAGATTTAGAAAAAACTATTATTGGAATAGATTATCAATAACAAGAAAATTCAGAGCAACTAGCCTGATTGCCCGGTAGGTGGGGGGAATGAAGAAGGTTCAAGCAAGAGTGGATGACGAGTAGGCACAGGGGTATCACCGGTTCTGCCCAAAAGACTATAAATAGATGTTGTCCGTCCTGGACGTCTAGACCCAAAAACTTCAAGTGGCATCACATGAAAAGCCTCATTTGCAAAACTATTATCTCTGCCAAAAACCTCAATATGGTCAAAAACATTAATTCCATTAATTCCCTCCTCAAGTCGCAGTATAACACCATCTTCATCTTCCTCCTCATCGTCATCCTCTTCCTCCATCACTTCATCATCAAAATCTTCATCATCAATCTCATGTTCATCTTGATCTGTGTCAGGATGTGCTAAATGATGGACTTCTTCCAAATCATTGTGTTCCTCGTCATCATCTTCATCTTCATCAACATCTTCACCTTCATCTCCAGACATATCATCGTCATCTTCATCAAGATTTTCTTGGCCGCGAGGTTGAATTTCAAACTCTAGTTCCACATTTTCCATTCCATTTTCAAGATCTCTGGCATCCTCAGAATTTTCATGCATGTAATCATCCTCATTAGCAGGAGCAAAACTCCCATCAAAATCTTGATCATGTTCCATATCATCAGTAACAGCTTCAGACCCACCACCATAGGAGCGAACCGCATAAGACCCAACATGGTCAACTTGAAGGGAATCAGGATTGGCTTGTGAGGTCATTTCCATGGACTGAGACATCTCAACAATGTTATTTGTTCTTCCAGGTTGACTAAGAACAGAAGGTTTTGCTGAATTATCACCCTTCGCTGTGCTAGAGTCAACTGAATGGACATGCTCCTTGGTTACCAATTCAAGAGCTTTAATAATTCCAGTAGCAACTTCAGATGAATCAGCATGATCAAGGTCCAAAACTTGCAGAGTACAAGTGAATGATTTCACCAAACCAGCATCTATAAAAGTGGTGGTGGCCTCAGCTGAGATGGATGAACCAGAAGGTGTACGTGCAGCCAAAACATCATTTAATAGATCAACAAAAACCTGAATTTCATTGCCTGGACTCTTGATACCATGACATAAATCAACAAATTCATTGATAATATAACTAATCTCACCAAAAACCCTCTTCCTTGCCTCTGCAGACCGAACACAAGCAGCCACCATAAACTGGTTGGCCCTGGTTGCTAGCTTCTGCCTCCAATCACCATCAACTTTCTTATCCTTCTTTGAGTTTCGAGAATATGCAAGAAAATTATGAAGAATATGGCAGAATATTCCACCCATGTTTAAACCTGCAGGATTCTTTTGAAAAGAACCCCTTATGCTGCTCACTTCAGTATCCCGTCGAAGTAGAACATGAACAGATGATGAATACATCAGTAATATCTCTGTCAGAAGCTTTAGAATGAAGACAATCTTCGCAAGTGATGCAGAAGCTTCCTGACTACTTGTTTCATTGTCCTCAGACACAGTGGCAACTGCTTTTCCTTTTCCCTTTACCAAGGAGACATCAATTTCCATATCAGTTGATGCTGCAGTACCCGGAAGAGCATTTGAAGCAATGTCATCCTTCGAGGGGGGAACAAAAGTGGATATAGATTCAAGAAGAAGTTCTATTACGTTGATAAAGCTTTGGGTGGGTTTTCTATGACCTTTGGTACTCTTGGTATTTGAATCATGAATTTTGCCATTGCCATTGCCAGAAGGTGCTGTGTTTGTATTTCCCAAACTAACCTTCCCATCACTGTTCTGTACTTTATCTTTCTCCTTAGCTTTGTCTTTATCCCTATCTTTCAGCAAGACAATGTATGGCCTCTCACCTACCATTTCAACTTGACACACAGATTGAGCAGCTAGCATAAAAGTTGCTGGATCCCGAGAAATTACAGAAGCTAAATTTAAAAGGAAATTATGAGGATTGACCCTTCCATTTGGATGCCGGTTAGAAGCAACTATAAGACTATGTTTTATCTCAGATTCCATTGCTTGCTGGAGTGTTTGCGGATCTTCAAGAACATGACGAACAATACTGGCAGCAACATTGTCAAACCCAGGGAAGAGGCTGCTGGTTGGCAAAGAAAGAAGTAGACTTAGACCACCAGCATCCAAAAAGGTAAGAGCTACAGAATGATTCCTTGTAAGATTGGAACACAGTAGCAGAATAGCATGCATGGTATCGGATGGAAGTTGATTCTTCATACAACTACAAGAAATCTCAACAAGTCTCTTCTGTTCATGTATATCCGCATACTTCATAGAGAGCCCCAATGCAGACTGCAACTTGTTTTGCCTGTCTTCATCAATGGTAATTGATGTCTGCTGGCTATTCACAGCTTCCTTCTTCAACTGCTCCGCAACTTCAGAATTCAACTTTTGATCCACTTGCAACAACCTATCTAATGCAAGGAAAGCAGCAGTGACCCATTTTGGTACCTGTTGCTTCTCCCTATTATCTAGACTAGAATCCCACTGTAAAAGTTTATCAGAGGCAATTTTGATCAAACCACTCGTTGACGCAGCTTCCCTAGCTACAGCATCTTCATTAAGAATTAAAGCAAGAACATGAAAAAGAGCAGCCAGCATTGCATAATTTCCATTGCTAGAAACCAAGCCACATTCTTTAATCTGCTCCACAATAAAAGAGACCACAATAGATCTATGTTGACCATCATCCTGAGAGCATATCATCACAAGAAGGTCACGGACTGGAAAAGCAAGTGGTTCCTTTGACAAAAGTTTTGTGCAAGTAGATAGCAACTCATCAACAGGAGGCAGTTGGACCATCTCTTCCTCAACATGCAGGCTTTTGTCATTAGCAACTGCATCCTTAGCATCTGATTCAGAGTTTCCAAGGGACATGGCAAGTGCACGAGCAAGTTCATCATCTTCTTGTGTCTCCTCAGGATGAGAGAACAACCACTCCATTGCCAACTCCACACTATTTGACCCAACTTGCCTCAAAGCTTCTTCTGCTCTAGACCTGGAAAACCCCATCTCTACAATGGTTGAAATGGTTGTTTCATTAGGAGGTGGCCCAGTAATGCGAGCCCCACCACTGCCATTCACATTTTTTACTTCAATGCCTGTGTAGACATGTCTAATTATAGAAATTACTGTAGAGATAAATTCATAACTACAGTCAACAAACTGGGGATGAGTCCAAACAGGAAGTACAGTCTTCATCACTCTGGATTGAAGGACCTTCACAAAAGTCTCAGCATCCCTTGGGAAAGGTGTATCACCATTAGTTAGGGGTTGTGCAAGCAAATGCTTTGTGAATGATGACAATATAAAAGAGGAGGTCACTAGATGGTCCATCAATTTCCCATAACTAGCTAAAGAACAATAAATCCAAGAACTGTCTGAATCTTCCTTGTCATCTTGCTTTGCATTTGCATCATCAGTATCCATAGGCGAGGCAGGAGCCCGATTGACTGTAAAGAGCAGCTGACTGGTAGCTTCAAAAGTAGTTAATACAGTTTCAATAACTCCACGTCCGTACAAGCAATTCAGCAGAATAGGGTTGTATGAATCTGGCCTCTCCATTAGAATATTATCCATAAAATCAATCACCTTCCCAAAATATCGACATTTTGTTGATATGGATTCTTCTGTTCCAGAGAGACTTACACATCGACCACCATAATTCATGTGATCAAAAGCAATGGATGCAAATGTTAAAGCCACTGATTTTGAAGCAGGACTTACATTCACAACATCATCACGTCGACGTGAAGGTAGCAACATTACTTTTCCTAACTCCTGGAACAAATGGGTAATGTGAAATGAAAGTGATTTGATCATGTCACAACAAGAAGTATAATATGGTCTCTGCTTATCAGATTCCTTCTTATTAGTAGTCCCAGAAGTATCATCAGACCCAGAATGCTGGACATGATTGCTAAAACTTGACCGCATGTTAGAAGGCCCAAGCGAAATTGATCGATGTTGAGAACCAGTGGAACGGCCCAAATCTCGATACAGGTTTATAAGGTTAAAAAACTGAGATTCAATGTTCCATCCTGGTGTTCTCCTTCTCAATAATGGATCAAGAAACTGCCTAAAAGAATTAATTCTTTGCTCTTCAGTTTCACTTGCATCCCCTTCAGCTTGTTGTGAATCAGAAGAACAAACACCATCTTCATCACTCTCGGGTTTTCTATTTTCAAGTAGAGCAATTTGCCACAGAACTTCACGATGTACAAGCCCAATATCTTGAAGGACATCCTTACTCCCGTTTCCAAATTCCGTAAGCAGTGCAGTCACCCAGCGATTGTCTTTTGATGCAGCAAGAAATAGAAGGAACTCAACCAGGAAAAGTGAAGAAAAGATGCCACCATCAGATGTCATCCTTGGATCCAGTAACAAAGGCTCAGATGCTGCATCAAATCCTGCTAAAGCTTTCTTCAAGTGCTCTTTAAGGGAAGAACAGAAGGCACGTGCCAGAGGAATGGAATGATGTTGAGCAAACCCTTTAAATACCATGGTGCTATGTAAAGCAATAGACATACCATCTGAGGATTGTGCAATAGTGGGGCGTAACAACAACTTCAATAAGGCTTCAATTCCTGATTTTTCCACAAACAACCGGCATGTCTCGGCATTTTCTATAGTCCTATGAACCAATACCATCAAATGAAAGACACAAAGCTGAATAAACTGCTCATCACTTATCCCTTCTACAGCTGAATTTGATGTACCTACAATGCAACAGTGGCCTTCATTTTCTTTGTTTTCAGAATCTGTTTCCATTGCAGTGCTCTCAGCTGTTCCAGAAAATCCTATCCTAATTCCATCCCCAAAGGATGCAATCTTATGGATGATTTCAATTATAACATCAACACCAGTGCTTCTCAGTGAAGATACATGGCGTAGAAGTTCCTCCACAGCATTTGCCAAAGGAACAATAGCCTCATTCATGGCTAAAACATACTTCTTGCTAGTGAAAATGTCAACAAGGAACCGTAGTGATGAAGATTCTCTAACAGCCTCCAACCCTTTGGCATTAAGACAAATGGCGCCAAGACCATTTGGAATGCATGTCAAAGCCTTTGATGAAGGAAGTATGTCAGATCCAACAGACAATAAAAATGCATCAGGAAGACCCATTTCATGCAGAGCAGAAAAACATGTAGGATCTTTGTGAATTATCTCACTCATAACAGTAACAGCTGAATAATAAATGTCACCTCCGAACTTATCTACATTCTGAAAAATCAAGCTCAGAGTCGTAGGTAATGAACTGTCGTGAGAATGTTGAGATCTCGTAGAGTTCGCAGGCACATATGTTGCAGAACCAAGAGCTTTAAGGGAGACCTTTATGAGCCTCTTCTGTGAGTGCAATTGATCAGTACTATGTCTCAAGCTTTCACTAGTAACCATCATGCTACCAGTTTCTCCAACCAAACCAACGACTCTGTGTACCTCTTTCTGTAATCTCTGAGCCAAAAGTTCAACGCCACCCAATTCTCTAAACAATGATACAGATGAGCTGCTATAATCCATAAGCTTCTGAAGTGTTTTCACAGCAAAACAGACTAGATGAATATGTGTAGGGTCAAAATCCTCCAGCAACGGCAAGAAAGTAGACACCATACCAGAACCTCTAATATTATTTCCAGATGTCGACATTGAAACTACATGAAGCAGATAGAACTGGAGAAGTGCTTCAACAAAGGCAAGGGATGATGGATCATTAGAACTCTTCAATGACAAAATAGCCCTCTGAAGCACATTCAGGAGTATCATGCGGTTCCCACCAGCAAAAGTTAAACTAGTTCCACTGAGTATCCGTGCTCGATGATGCGATGATGTATATGCTGCTAATTGAGCTCCTAAAGCAAGCATTGCAAGTGTTCTAATAGATCCAGATACAACTTCCTCTGATCGTGCAATTCTAATCAATTCGTTTGTATATTCTGGTTCATTAGCAAAAAACGAGACAAGTTCATCCTGAGCATCGCCTGACTGCACCAGAACAATGAAAGAAAGTAGGCAAACCCTGCTGTAAAGCCTGCATATTCTAGGAGACCGAAAGGCACGAGCATATCTGATTCTAGTGAGCAAGGAAAATCTTAGCTCAGAAGGAATGCTATATTGTTCAATGCACTGCTTCATCAATGACAAATCATCTTCTTTGTGCAGATGCAAATCTGGCATGTGTATAACTGTTGAGCCAAGGGAAACTGCCTCTGCACTTTGTTCCTTGCTCTGGGCACTAGGACCATGCAATTCAAAATAAAGGGTAGTACCTATTCGGTAATTTGATTGGTCATGACCAATCTTTTCAACATCAGAAGGAAATAAGCACAGTGCTTCATCTTGGGCTTTCTCATTTGCCATAACACAAGTGTACAATCCCAGGCCCTCCTCCTTGCTTCCCCAGCCCTGAGCCAGAGACAAAAGATAGCTGTTCACAGAACCACAGCAAATCATCTTTGCACTTCCATGAAGCTTAGAGGGATTAATTTTTACAAGCGCAGAAAGAGTTTCCAATGCAGCAATAAGAATCTCAGGATCTGTCGATGCAAGTAAAAGCTTGAAATGCTGAAGAGGGACAGATAAAATATCAGAAATAAAAGTTTAAAATATAAAATAACAAACCACTTGACTAAAATAAACTAGGGAATGAATTAAGTAATGTATATAAATTAAGACCAAGCTTAGATAATACACAATTAACCAACTAACCTCTAAGCCATCAAAGGAACTCTTGTTTGCACAGTTCTCTAAAATTATTTGTGTCACTCGTAATATTTGCAGAATTGCATGTTTTGGTAATGGGCTGTCATCTTCTAGATTATCTAACAAAGTCAAATCATTTCTACATGACAAGTAAGTCTTGAAGTATGTATCAAAATGAAGCAACAATGGTCTCCAGTGATGAAAATTCCCCTGATATAAAAAAGGAAGGTTTAAACACTGGGAAAATAAAAACAAATTATTCAATGCATCAAACCATCGATACAAAAATGGTAATACCTTATTGTACTCCCACCGAAAGCCAGAAAGTGGTATGGCAATATCTTGTAATGGACACTTGATGATCTTCTCAATGAAGGCTTTGATCTTAGGAGGCTGAAACCAATCAATCACCAAAATAAGATAACATCACATGGATGTTTGGGGAGGATACGAATGAATATATGTACAAATATAATAATATGCAAATAAATTCAAACTGATCTAAGAATACAAAATACGAAACGCAGATGAAGCAAATTTCCAAACATATTTCACTTAATAAATTTGTCTATGATAATCAGTGTTAACTGAGAATAACAGTATAAATAAAATGTTTAGAAATAGAAAATCATTGCCAGATAACATTAATTTTATCAAAAGGAGTAAAAGAAAATGGAGCAGCCACAATTTAAATGAAGAGCCCACAAAATTTGCCACTGTAAATAATGCATGCACAGAAAGAAGTACAAAACCGAAAGCTGTAAAAAAACCCAGAAGCGGTTATTTATCCTTTATGAGTAACAGGTTTGTTCATACTTTGTATTTCTGTATACAGGACATCAAACTCATGTAACCTACCAAAACCTAAGATTCACAAAACATAATGAAATCAATATATTGGAATATCTACTTTAGTGAGAAAATAAGAGAAAGTACATGAAAATATGAGAATTTGACAAAATGTGGAGAGAAAAGTAAACTGGTGAGTTTTCTCCTAGATTTGTATTTATGATGGGATCTCATGGTTATAACTATTAAACTACCTCTAAGTGGGTTAGAGTTCTAACAGAATTAACTGACAGAAAATATGAATACAATACCATATTATGCTTCAGTAATAAAATGAAGAGTGCAAAAAAATACAAGAAGCTAAAAAAATAAGAGTAAACTGGAGAGTTCCTCAATTCTAGATAAACTGCCGAGTCCATGATGATTTCCTACATTATAACTGTCTAACTACCTCTAAGTCAGTAAAGAGAGGTCTGACAGAAGCTATGACAACACTACATGCTACTACACTTGTAATAACCTCTAGTAGTCTCAAGTATCTGAAATGCAAATAAACTAGACTAAACATAGAATGCAAAGTAAATAATGATAAAATAGAAAACTAATTGCACGTATTTTCACTGGCCCTTATTTTTATTAGATGAACAATGCAACTGCATTGCATATGTTTGAAACAAAAAGATGCGCAGAAAGATATAGAGTGGAATTGCAGCTAGTCAATCATATTTTAATATTCAGTGTTTAACAGACAACAAAATGCATCCAGGAGGCCTTAGATATATCAATACTTATATAAATGTAAGCATAGCACCAACTTTATTGAGAACCAGATGTTCACATGCTGATTAAACCAGCACTAGTAAATGACTGGTAAAATCACCAATTAGTGTAAACAAGTAAAAGTTTAATATACTCAATTTGAGGTAATAAACTTGTAAAAATGGCCTGGTGATGAATACAACAACTTATAAATTTAAAACATAGTAACTAACTATGCTTCATTTGTTGATATTTAACATAAACCTGCTAGAAATGCATCTTACATACTCTGATCGAAAGTAATATTAAAATGAATTCAAAAAACCCAATACAGCACCCAAAATCAAAACAAGTACAAAAGTGAGTTGCTTATTCTAGCTTTTCTTTCTAATTAGTGGTAAATAGGGGAGACAATCTCTATTCAGTCAATCTAAAACTAAACTTCAGTAGCTCATTTTGCCTTTCAAACCCAGCGGCAAAAAAGATATAAGCTACAGAAACAGTAATGCCGCAATGAATGAACTCCGCGTCAAAGATTATTGATTAAACACATGTAGTATTACTTTTCCTGGCTTTATGCCAATTTTGAAGAAAAAAACCTTGGTAACATGCTTTGCTAATTAACTTAAAAAAGCCACTTCCAGTTACAGATACAGTTTCCTTAGCCAGAAAAGACAACTTCTTTGCATCTTGCTCTAAAAGCAAAGAAAAGGTCAATTTTTCCCTAAAATCAGACACAGTTACCATAAACCATATATATATATATATATATATATATATATATATATATATATATATATATATATATATATATATATATATATATTGCTCTATTTCCGTCCTACAAAACACGTTCATGAGCTTCAATACTTTCTTCAAAGGAGAAAACTAAAAATAAAAAACTCTTAAAAATAAATACACAGGATAAAAATAAATAAATTGGTCCACACTATCAGAAGAATGAAACCAGAGAGACACAGTCCATCCAAAGCTTCACAAACTTCCACCTTTGAAAGTCCAATTCAAAACGAGCCACATAACGTTAAATTTTTCATCACATCATATATCAATGCCAATTAGTAAGAATCCTAACGAGGGGTTTACCCATTAAACCATGTTAGCAAACAAGACAAACCGGTGCATATTAGAGAGAGAGAGAGGAAAAACATAAGGCACACTCACGGGCTCAGTGTCCAACTTAACAGAAGGACCAATGCTACCCTCGTTCGACAGAAGTTGGCGCAGCCTCGAAGGCCAACTCGATCTTAGGGTTGTCATCTCACCTCAACAGTACACTGAACCACCACCTAAAACCAAACCAAAAACAAAGATAAATCACAATCCTAAAAAAAAAAATTATTATCAAATTAACAAGCTTAAGAAACAGATTAGGCAAATAACAATCCGCGATTGAACCGAAACGATTTGCTGGCACCAAATCAGCAATTGGCGTACAAAAAACGGATCAAGTTGGTAACGGGAAACAAACACGGCTAGAGAGAGTGGTACCTGAGAGATGAGAGAGAAAGGAGAAAGGTGCACACACATCCGAAGGAGTGCGATTGGAAGAGAAAGCGAAAACCCAATCAGAAAGAGAGAGAGAGAGAGAAAGGGTTGAGAATCGCTGCTTTGTCTGATAAGTGAGAAGAAATTTGATTTACTTTCAACACAATTTGTGCCCTCTCTGTGTGACGAGAGAGTTTTATATGGAGTGAGGACTGAGGCTGGCTGAGTCGTTCCTTTCCTTGCTTCCACTGCGGGGTCTTCTGAACGCGCCTTGCTTTCCCCTTTTTACCCCTAGGTTTATGTGCTATTCCAACGTGGGCGTTTTGTTTGTTTGCTTAGAATAATTTTTTAGTACTTATGTGACTTTTATTAATATAATAATATATAGACGGATCTAATAAAAATAAAAATAAAATAAAATTATTATTATTATAATATTAAAATAGAATTGTTTATATATATGGATTTGAGTTGTGAAAATATCATTTTCTTAATTTTTTTATCATTTATTTGTGTCAATTCGTTATCTAAATAAAAAAAATTGTAACATAAAGTGTAATTTGGTATTGAAATGGATAATTTAGTCACATCATATTCATATGTATATAATACTGTATATTATTAATGATTTATCAAAAAAATTATATAAATAATAAACATGAAGAAATACATTAACTTATTTAAATACAAAAATTCACACTAAAATTAATAATGTCACCAAATTATAAAAAAAGTCTCAAAATAATTAGATTAAATAATTCATTAAATATTAATTTATATTTTAATATTATTTATAAAAAAAGTATTTTACTGCTGATGATCAATATCATGGAAAAAATATTTTATCTTGATGATTTAACTTGTTTGGTGTATTAATAAGACATTATTATCTTATCTTGTTATTTATTATATTTTATTAGTCCAGATTTTCTTAGGGAGGAAAATGAGTGAGAGAAATAGAATATGATAGATTTATAAAACTAAATTAAATTTAACAAAATTTATAAGTTTATAAAAATTATTATATTCTGATAAAAACAAAGTCATATAAACTATTTATAAGATGTGTGGTCATGATGTTATAATATATTTTATTGAGTATGGTGTTGTTTTTAGTGAAATTTAATATGACATTTATTATAAAATAAAATAATGTACTAAATTTGAAAGAATATTAAGATAAATTATATTTGATTTAGCTTATTAAATACATATGAAACTTAATTTGTGAACCAGGAGAGATCCTAATAAAATATAATTAGAATAAAAATATCATAAAATAAATAAATAAAAAAAGAAAAACCTGAGAAGCTCTTCATTATCTCTACGAAAAACATTAAATATTAATGTCAACTAAGAGACGATCGTAATAAATATAATTAGAATAAAAATATAATAAAATAAATAAAAATGATTTTTTTAATTTTCACTAATTGCTATGTTTTTTATATTTAATGTGAATTAGAAAATATCAACAAATTATATATATATATATATATATATATATATATAGATGTTGTCTACTTTTATGTGTCCCCGCACAATTTATGCTTTATGTTTTACGTTGACTTATGTTTTAGTGTACAAAATATTTTATTTTATAATTTCAACATAACAAAAAAAAATTGTCTAACAAGACTATCACTTGTTTTATTCTAAACAAACAATCTAAGAACGAGAATCATAGGTCTTGAGACCATTTTTAAACCAACGTGTTCTCAATTCTAAATTTAATTGCTTTATTATTAAAGGTTTATTGTTTGGGTAAGGAAAGAAAAATGAGAATTTGAAATGTCATACATACTAGACATCATGATGGAAATCCTTGGTTGGATGAAGATGGGATTGAATAATCCATTTGGACCACAAACTTGGTCTCTTGCTCTAAGTTTATTTGCTTCTCAGTTGGCTTGTTTTAACTTGCACCAAGACATAAATTTGTTTCTCAATTATTCTTTGAACTACTTGAACGCTTGGTGGTGTTATTGATGAAGAAAGGCTCGCATGAAATTGGATTTTCAAGGGAACCGCATGCACACATGGGGGATTGGTGTTTCTTGAAGCTTTATTGGTGACTTCTTAGAACACCACACTTCCATAATATTGTGATGATGGAAGCATATGTATGGTTGGTGGATGAGATGTGTTGAAAGAAAAGAAGAAAATAAAACACGCTCGAAGAAGAGAAAGAATTGGTCGAGAGAGAAGGAAGAAAAAAAAAAGGAAAAAAAGACTCGAAAATAACTCCAACTTATCTTGAAAAGACGATAAACCTAAGAATGGATATCATCATTTAAATATCTACTCAAGATAAGAACATCCTAAGAATAAAAAGAATATATACTCTTCATAAATTCACTCTATGTCTCATTCATTTAAAGTTTATGACCAAAGTTCACTCACGCTCTCTTTAGGTTTGTATGTAAGGAGTGGTCAAATACTTCTCTTCCCTACCTATGCATAAACAAGAAATAAAGAAGAATAACTATTAAATAGGGAAGCTACCCAATTATCCAAAGGAATGTTTCTTACAAGAAAAATCATTTTATCTTATTTTAAAAATGTTAAAAATATTTTATTTTTATTCTTGTTATAACCTTTAGTTAAAATTCTTCTAAATATTTTGTCAAGTAAATTATTTTTATCTATAATCATATCACATCATGTCACACATTTTTTTCATACTAAATATCCATTTATCATGGTAATCATAATTCTCGTTTTAAATATATAATATATTATGTCATATTTCAAACATTATTATTATTATTATTATTATTATTATTATTATTATTATTATTATTATTATTATTATTATTGATTTCGCATATACAACTATTTTATTTATTTTCATATGGTAAAGTTAGATTCGTTTAGCAAATTAACTCCAAAATCAACTCCTCGTTCTATTAATTTTTCATTTAGTGAGATACTTGCTAACTTAATGAAATCATGTTACAGATTTTAGTTAAATATGTTTTTATCTTGTATTTTTTCCGTAAAACTAAATTTTGATTCCTCTACTTTAAAAGTTAATTAATCCTCAAATTTAAAAATATAAATTTAATTATTTTCTCAAATTTATAACCATAATAAAACTCATTAAATATTAAATTTATAAATAAAAATATTAAAATGATATATTTTGTAAACATAACCACTCTTTGTAATAATAAAAATAATATTGCTACATATTAAATTTAACTATAAAAAGTCTAAAATTATATTTATAAAAAATTAAAAAAAATCATAAATTTGAAAATATTAAAAAGACAAATTTAAAATAAATATAAGAACTAAAAACATCTTTACCCTTACAAATTTTTATTGTACATTAAGTATCAACATAAGACGATCACGTGATTTTATAACAACGAATTTCCTTACAAAAATCCTTCGTCTACTACTATGTTAAAATCATACCAAACGTCTCTTACTCCTTTTAACATTCTATCGGAGGGGGAGAGAATGGCCATATGGCCAACAAATCGCATTTTTTGAACACTCCTAGTCTTCATATCATTCATGCATATTTTTGCATTGATGCAACCCTTCTTCCAATTAATTTCCATTAAAATATAATGAAATCAAATTATTTTCATTCCAGAATTTAGGATTTTATCGATTGAGATTGCAAAAGTGAGGGAACTAGCCTCTAAGCCATAATAGTTTGCCGGAGAAAAATAAACTAGTTTGCTTGAACTCAGAGATGAATGGAACAAAATACACTTAAAAGAAGGGAGTAGATTCATCCAATTCCCAAGCGGTATTCTCAATATAGCATTAATTACCTAATAATGTGAAGAGTGATGACATTCAATTCTTCTATAATAACATACAATAGTTACTAGTTCCTGCAAGAATTTAAGACCAACATCACTATGGTCTGGCCACCATTCCCATAGTATACCAGCTGATGCAACAATTTCCCCTTCATGACAAGGAAAAGGAAATTGGGCATATTATTGTGTGAGCAACTTCGAGTCACACGCCACTATTTTAACCCGTCCAACATTCTCTTGGCTGTCTTCGTTCTTAAACAATGCATCTTGTAAGATGAAGGTCCAAACATTGTCACAAAATCTATAAGTATGCAGATGGCCCTGTTATTGAAAAATGAAAAAAAAAAAAGTAATAATTGATTTCATTGCCAAGACTATATATATTCAGGAATTACACATCTAAAATATTCAGTATCGAACACAGAATGCGTATATGCTGTAAGGAGGTATCGGTGGATTTCAGTGCCACAAATTGTTTAAAAGGTACAGCTGCTGAACACACTAACAAGATGAAATCACAGCAGCCCATAGGCAAATTAGTATTCCGTCAGACAAGAAACATTACCATTTCAACACATTCAGAGGAATGAAATAAATGCAATATAGAGAAAATAATAGTGCCAAATCATGCTACACAAAAGGCTGGGAATGATCGATAGTGGTTGGGCTAACCAATTAATCCCAAAAGATAAAGGCTAAAACTTATAGGTATTTCCATTATGTTGATAATATGCTCTGCATCAATAACAAAAGTTAAAATCCCCATACATAGCTAAGGTCAAGAACTTTTAAGTACCATTCATTCTCTAGAGCTAGATGAACAGGAAAGATCATAATAGTATCAATTGACAAAAAGAAAATCTGTTTTGTAGTTAGTAACTGGAAATATTTTTCATATAGTGCAGTTATTTATATCATATTTGTTTGTCTTTTGGCCATTATAGAAGGATAACCCTGTGCTCTACTTTTGCATTCACCTGTTTTTTCTTCTAACATACACCAATAATATGGCTAAATGGAAATAAAAATAATAAGATTATTTAATAGGATCAACCTTAATAATATTGCAGAGCTTATATGAGAAGATTGGACATTTCGTTCTACCCATATTTATTCAAAACAAAATAGAAACTGTATAATTTCAAAACCAATATTAAGGTGCTTTTTTTTTTATAACAAGCCAAGAGAAGAGTGATACTAAATTTACTAAGGTTTAGTTTCCTTGTAGAGACTTTTAGGGTTCAATTTAAAAATATTGAAAAATGATCTGATTAAATTTTCTATGAAGATTTCAGTCTGTTAAACCAAAAAGTTTTATATTTTCCCCATTCCCCAAGTAAGATTGATCAGAAGAAACAAATCAACCTCTTCCAACCAACCAAGCATCTCCACAAAGAAAAATGCTACATATACAAATCATATGCCTAGTTTTCAGCCCATTCCCCCCTCCCAACCCAAAAAAAGAAATAAAAAGGTAATTAAACAAAATCAAGATTAGATTGTAGTGTAAAAGACAGCATAAGCAAACCTTAACAGTCATAATCAAATAATCTGACTGCTATGGTAGTCAGAATGACAAAAATAACAGCGATCCATGACAAACAAAAAGGACATGTTTAGCTTAATTTCCAGAAATCAGACATAAGTAGTCAGGAGACTGCATACCCGACAATAATCCCAAATGTTTAAAGCCAAAAAATTAAGTGAAAAGGCATTTGTAGATGGCTAATCATGCAAGCATTCTCTGCTTGAATCAAATGTGTGTAGGTATTAGTAGTTTTACAAATAGGAAGATCAATGTCCTATTATTAAGTCCAATAGCAAATGACAGCCCTAAATTTAAAATTTTAAATGACAGCACACTCGATTTTAAGTAGGTTTCACATACTTCATGGCTCAATAAACATACTCAATCATGAAAATAGCAAAAGGTAATATACATAGAGAGAGAGAAATACTACTAGTAGAGAGGGTATACTATGCTCCTATGAGGGATCACAAATGAACAAAATTTTCATATTTCAACACTATCTTTGACAAAATACCAAATATCAAGCTTTTTTTTTTGTGAGCAAAGTTAGATTAGGGGAAGGCACAGGGATACCACTAACTTGACGAGTATTCATAGAAAAATTTACAAATTTCTTCTACCAACAGGGAAAATTTTAGAACCAAATCCAATTCATAACTAATTTGAGTGAAAATGTCAACCAAATATCAAGTGTTAAGTTTATTGCATTCAATGCATATAGGTAACTGAATATCAAAAGAAAAATATAAACTGAATATCAAAAGAAAAATATACAAATAAAAATACTCCTATTGCAACTTTAATTATTGACAACGCTGTATCACAAGATCCCATGATATACACTCAAGTCTTAAATATTCTCCATGATTTTCTACTCCTTGTGTCAGTGCTCATAACTCATGACTACCAAACACGTAGCAAAAGGGAAAAGGGAACATAGTAAAGGTAACAAGAAAATATCTTCAACAAATCTACTGAGTGACACTATGAAACAATTAGATCCTTTAAAGCAATTAACAGAAGATATGCAAACAAACAACAAAATCAGCTTATTCCAACCAAGAATCCTCATATAATTCTCCTTATACAGTCAATTTGTTCTCCTTCTATTTCTTTTCATAAGTTGTTTAATCCTTTAAGGTAGTTGTAAAGCAATTAAACATTTTAGATGTTGCTTAATGTAGTTGTAAAAGAATTAAGACATTCATTAAATATTTGGTTCCCTATAGTTATTCTCATTCGGAGACAACCCTATTTGATGTACTATATATGGCACTAAATACAGGCACCTTTCCTGGCAAGGAGTTGAACCTTAGACAGCTGCGTTATTGAAGTATTAAACAGCCTCATTTATTAAAAAAACAACTTTGAATTAATTACCCTTTAACAGTGTTCATCAATGGCAGATGGCCAAAATTCCAATATATAAACACACCATTGTGGCCTATGGCGTCTCCATGGCAGGCCTCCCTTCAAAAATTGCATATGGTAGTTGGCAAAATATCCACGATGCCATCCTGCCTCGGCAGCAATGACACCGCCATTTAACAACAATGTTCTTCAATATTCCTTGAATTATTTTTGTTATTTTATTCATTTATTTATAACAAGTTGCCAATTGCCTGCTTTAGTGCCACAATCACAGGCAGAATTACTTCCCACTGTTCTTGAGGATGTTGTCAGAGAGTGCCGACACATTTAATATTAGAGATAATTTTTTGGCACAGTGCCATATCATTTAATGATAGAGATAATGGTTTTGAGCACAGCCATTCTATGCTGCTATCTGCTATTGACCACTATAATTAATATTAGGGATAATGTTAGAAAAATATAATTAATGCTTTATCTATTCCCTAGCATGAACAAATTAAAAGGATAAAAAAACACAAACATGTCCCCACGTATAAAATTGCACAAACTCATTACGCCTATAAGAGAACCTTGCCAGCAGCTCAATTCATTAACGACCAAATGAGCTAAAATTTTTGGCTTATTCACATGAGACTTGTTTGGACAAACTTCTCCATAAGAACTTTCAGGGGAGAAATATAAGAAAAGAATATAAAACAGGTTTTTCCATAAATTAAAATTAGTTTGTGCACAAGTTCGAAATAAAAATTTGGCAAAGCAATGTGAGAGAGCTTTTGCAAATTAGTTGAATGCATAAGCTAATTTTAACTATTAGAGAAGTTCAATCTTTTCTTCTTTTTATTTTTCTCTCTTAGAAGTCTTCATTGAGAAGTTTGTCCAAACTGGACCAAAGACGAATTTCAACTTTCTTGTGAAGCTCCTTTACGTGTGAATTAGCTGTAACATGAAAATTCTATAGCACAATACTAAAAACAAAGCTTAAAAATTAAACAAAAATAGTATTTAATTCAATACCAACTAAATTGAGTTAGCTAATTATACACAAAAATACTGAAAAGAGAGTCAAGCTTAACTCATTGAACAACAAAAAGTTATTCAATTCAGACAACAATCGGTTAAGCTCGAACGCCTCCTCAATCACCTCTAACCCTAACCGCAATCAACATGTACATACATACATATACATGTATATACATGTGTATATATATATATATATATATATATATATATATATATATATATATGTGTGTGTGTGTGTGTGTAAATAAAAATGGAAAATAAACGGTGTTATGTTACCTTGATGGAAACCTTGCTCTTAACTTGCGTTTCCAGAGCCTCGGTCATGGACTAGAGATATCATCCACACGCAAATGAAATAAAATAATAATGACACGTTAAAACAGATCCAGTAACAGACATATAACTGTCATAAGTAATTGAAAACCGTACCTTATCAAACTGGACCAGAACCTGAATCGCAAGCTCCGGGCTGAGAGTACCGTTCTGAACCATCTCGTCTAACGTCTCCGTCAGGCACATTCCGATCGTCGACCTGCGGTACAGTTCGAACGTCGCCATTGCAGCTTGCGAAACGCGATCTGCGTCGATTGAAACGCACGCGTCGAAAACGAATAATTCGAAAGAATTCAGATGATTGAAAGTAATAATAGAAAGAACAAATAGCTATTGCGGTGAAGCAAGAAAACGCGGAAGCGGAAAAACGGAGATCTAAAGGGTGGAATTCGCATTACGAATCCGGTATCGACGTCGAAGAGTTGAGAGTGGTTCGCTTTTATGTCTTCGTGTTCTGCTGGTGCTTCTGAGTTAACGTTTGGGTTTGGCTCGATAGCGTTAGGGAGCGGAGAAATTTGGGGCTTTTTATACCCTAGAATTTGGAGGTCATGGTATATATAGTGAAGGTTGGAGAACAGTATGCAATGACCATCGTGCCCTCGTTCACGTTTTTTGTCATGTGAGAGGCTACCTTTGCAAATTAAAAATAGCATATATCTAATATATTTTGTTTCTGGGAGCAGGACTGTACTTGATAAGTTGGCAACTTAATTTATTTTAATAAAAACAAAAGTTGTTTCTTAAAAATATTTATTCTTATATTTTTATATTTTATATTTATGTTTTACATTTTATAATAATAGGGATGTGAGCAATTAAATTTGATGTTAAATTTCACACAATTATTGTTATAGACATTATTAAATTCAGTCTCTTATATTTTTCAACAATTATAATGATTTTTCTCTTTACTTTATAAGAATAAATAGAGACAGTAGATCTTTGTTTAAAAATAGAAATATTAATATTCAAGATGAACTTAAACTTATTTATTCAATTAATTAAATAAATAATATTTTTACAACAATAATCTTAATTTCATTTCTATAATTTAAGTTTAAAGTTTGATTTAATTTAAGTTAAAAATAAAAATATTTTTTAGATTTTTTAGTCAAAATATTAAGAATAGAATCGAACATAGAAAGGAATTAATATATATATATATATATATATATATATAAATATATAAAAGTGTTATAAAAGAATATAATATACAATTAATAACATATGAGAAGAGAAGAAATTTTTTTATATATATAAAAATAAGTTCTAGTTTACCCCGTTTATGTTTATAGAGTCTAATTCTTAAGTTTGATTTGTATATTATTTCATTATATTTGTTCTTTTCTTTTTTTCTTCAACCTTTTTATTTATATCCAAGGAAAGTTGCAATATTCTTATTCATCTGCTCAGTTATATGAGATTCGTATTGAGATTTATTCACTATAAAGTACTTTGATTCGCTCGACACCTTCATATCTGTTCAATGCTTTTACCTTTTGAAAAATCATCTCTATCGCGAATTCGCTCAACAGGTTACCTTATCGTTTAACGCATCCCAAAACTTAACATATTTGGTTCAACCAATTTGACCTCACCATCGGTACATTACTTTTTTACTCTCACCATCACTCTTCATATGTATTAGAATGACAAAACAACTTGTTCTTTTCTTCATCTCATTCCATGTTTGTTACAATAACAACAACTCTCCTTCAATGGATTATGAAACATAATTCTCTATTACCCACAATCTATGAGAATGCGATTAACAACCATCAATCAATCCCTAAGATCACATCTAAGACCTAGATCAAGTTAACCTTGAATTTGTTTCCATCAATTACCATGGGGCACCCTTGGAAAAGTTGACACCACAATTGAAGCTGGTATAGAAACTAGTAATTCAAATTATAGCTCCCTCACCAACAAACTCAACTCCTTTACACGAATAATTTGTTGGCAAAATTTGGGTCATGTATATATATGATACATAATTTAAATGTGTTAGGGCCATTATTTATTAAGCCAAATAATAAAGTGATCTGACTAAATTAAAATTTTGGCTAAAGACATATGTCATGAAAATAAAATTGTGTAGAGACTATTGAGCAATTTCTAATTTGATGAGGGGCCAAATTGGAAATACTAAAACTTAAGTAATTAACTTAATTCTGGTTATTTAAAGGGTCATGGTCCCCTTCTGGGAGCACACAGACAGAACGTAAGTTTCATTCCCGTTCTTTTCTTTCTATCCCCATCAAGAGAGAAAATCAAGAGGGAAATACAGGTGTTCTTCGGGTGGAAGACCATAAGATCAATATAGTGCTCTACAAAGACATCATCATTATGGTTAATTCAAGTACGCTTTCGCATTCAGTTTACAACATGTTTATCAGTATGAGATTAAGTTTATGTTTTGATCATTAGAATCAAAATCAGGATTATTATTATTAATTTTCCAACAATTGGTATCAGAGCCGCTCATACTTGATTCATGTCTGTCTTAGGAAATATTTAAAAATTTAGATTCTGTTTAATTTATAAAATCTCAATTACCGTTAACCCTAAAAATTTAAATTTGGGGGTAACATCCCTAATCTGATTCTACTTGCTGATGAAATCGTAGAGAAAGCTATGGATTATTCTTCTTCTTCGTTTTTCCCTTTTGTTTCAGTTTAAGTTTCAAGTTTTACTGAGAAAGAAATAGTGTTTCAAATTTCAATCTTTCTTGTATTGGGTTCTCTGTTCTCTTTGAATCTTTTGTTTTTGTTTTTATTTAATTTTATGGGTTTTGTTTTCATTTTCTTTTCATGGTGGATATGGATGAGTTTGGAATTGGGGGTGGTGTTTGGGGAATTCCCAACATAGAGGATCTTAGGCAACTGGTGAATGTTTCCACATATGTGACTATTATTATTTTATTGTCTTTATCCCCTAGGGATTTAAGGAAAAATTGATGTTAAATTCCCTGTTTAGGGTTTGAGTGATTACTGTTTAATCCCCTTTTAGGGTTTAGAGCGAGTGTGTTAAAGAGATTCAAAACTATATCTGTTTCATCCCTTCTAATGAAGTGATTATCTTTTGAATTAGTTTGCAAATATTAAATATTTGGTTTTGTTATATAAATAAAATATTCAATTTTTGGTAGTTTAATATTTTTGTGTGAGCAAATTGAGTCAAGAAGTCACCAAAGTAACATCTCTTGAATTGGGCAGTTCATGAAAAATATTGAATGTTAGTATTTGTGTATATTCATGCGAGTATTAGTCGGCCCAAAGGAAGATTAATATTTGGCCGAATTGCATACACACTTGTAATGATAAACATGTGATAATTATAAGGATTTGCTTTGTCGATGATAAATCAATCAAAAGACTGGTTTGTTGTTGGACGTGCTTTATTATCAATATTTGATTATTACAACAAGATACCTCTAACAGTTAATATTACTGTCGAAAGACTTGATATTGATTGTGCATTGGGTGTCTTAAGATGGGTTAAACCATTATTTGAATATACATTTATGATTATTTATTTTTATATAATGTGAGCATAATTAGTTTATTTCTCGTGATCTAAATTCAGCTACAATTGCTTTTATATCTACCAATTTAAATTATGTTCAAATCCTCAAAAGTATGTTTCCTACTTTGGTCTGTTCTGAAGTCAATTTAGCGTCAGTACCTAGTAACACTTGGTGGTTAGACTCAGGTGCAACTACTAACATCAGTGTTTCTATGAAGGATTGCCTAAGCTACCGGAATCCAATTGATTCTTAAAAAAAAAAAGATATATGTTGGAGATGGCAAATCGGTAGAGGTGGAAGTTATAGGGAATTTTAAATTGTTATTGAGTACTGATTTTTATTTGGATTTGAAAGACACTTTAGTTGTGCTATCATTTAGACGAAATTTGGTTTTAGTTTCTTATTTGGACAAATTAGGTTATTTGTGTTCATTTGGAAACAATAAGTGCAGTTTGTCTTTTAATTCAGATATTGTTGGAACTAGTTCACTTTTGGCTTATGATAATCAGTATTTACTTGATATTGTTGCCACCTATAATGAAACCCTTAATATAGAATCACGTGGTACTAAACGTAAAATTGAAAATACTCACTCAGGTGCATTATGGCACAAGTGCTCAGGTCACAATCGAATCGTGGTGCTTGAGCTTGTATTACATTCTTAAAGATATGATAAAGAGTATGATTTGTCATTCCACCTTACCAGAGTCACTCTGGGGAGAGGCACTAAAGACAACAATTTATATTCTAAACAGAGTACCAACTAAAGCAGCTACCAAAATACTTTATAAGCTTTAGACTGGGCGACAGCCTAGTCTGAAGCATTTCCATGTGTGGGGTTGTCCAGCTGAGATAAGGCCTTATAAGCCAAATAAAAAGAAATTGGACTCCCAAACAGTAAGTAGTTATTGGTTATGCTGAAAGATTCAGGGGATATAAATTTTATGATCCCATATTAAAGACAATTTTTAGACGGGAATTGCTACGTTCTTTGAGGATATTGAGTTTGGGGGGAAGAATAAAATCAGGAACTTTGTCTTGGAGGAAGCATCGGTAACAATTTCAGAACCGATTCAAATAGTTACTTTTGATAAAGTAAGTTCGGAACCTCCACAATACATTGTTAATGAACCCCTTACTCAAGATGATTTGTTTGTTCATGAAGAACAAACTCAAGATCCTCAAGAACCTGTGCATCATGAGCCAATAACTTTGCGGAGATCCACTAGAGAAAGAAGAAGTGTTATTTCGGATGATTACATGGTATTTCTTCAGGAACATGAGGAAAATAATGATATAATGGAAGATTACCCAGTTAACTTCCGTCAAGCTATACAAGGTTCTAACTCTCAAAAGTGGATTGAAGCAATGAAGGAGGAGTATAAGTCCATGCAAGACAATAAGGTTTGGGAACTTGTCCCATTACCAGAAGGTATGAAACTCATTGGTTGCAAGTGGATATTTAAGACCAAACAGGATTCTAAAGGTAATGTGGAAAGGTATAAGGCTCGTCTGGTAACTAAGAGTTATATCCAAAATGAAGGAATTGACTTTAAAGTATCTTTCTCCCCAGTTTCATCGAAAGACTCTTCTAGGATAATCATGACTCTTGTAGCACATTATGATTTGGAGCTTCATCAAATGGATGTCAAGACAACGTTTCTCAATGACAACATTAATGAGATGATTTATATGGTACAACTAGAAAATTTTGTGCAGGGAGATTCAAAGAATATGGTTTGAAAACTAACAAAATCCATTTATGGATTAAAACAAACATCTCGTTAATGGTACTACAAATTTCATCAAGTAATTCTCTCATTTGGCTTCGAGATGAATATTGTTGATGATTGTGTGTATCACAAGTTTAAAGGGGGACAAGTTTAGTCTCAATCAGTGCTCAAAGGAGAATTTGAAAATTGAGGAAATGCAAAAGATTCCCTATGCATCAGTTGTAGGGAGTTTGATCTATGTCCAAGTATGTACGCATCCAGACATAGCATACATAATTGAGGTTCTAGGCAGATATTTTAGCAATCCAGGAATAAACCATTGGAAAGCAGCAAAAATGGTCATAAGATATTTAAAGAGAACAAAAGATTATATGTTCACATACAGGAGGTCAGACCAATTGGAGATCGCTAGGTTTTCTGACTTAGATTTTGCAGGATGTCAAGAATTTGTAGCATGCTATTAGGCATCAAATCATGGAATATGGCTGAGAAATTTTGTCACAGGGCTGCAAATTGTGAAAGGCATTGAAAGACCACTTAAGTTATATTGTGACAACAAATCAGCTGTATTATTAAGGAAAGAGTACAAAGTGGATAGATTTTCATAGAACACTTAAAGATAAACTCCATGATAGCAGATCCTCTAGCTAAAGGACTTCCGCCCAAGGTCTTTCACGAGCATGTTGCTCACATAGGTGTTTTTACAGTTTGAGGAATTTGTGGTTTAGTGGGAGTTAGTCACTTTCATATATTTTATGTTCTATGTTTAATTTCATATATGTATACATTGATTTTTTGGACATATTTGGTTATCTATAGATATGCGGTTTTTTCGTTCATTCATTACACTTTGTACATTAAGGATATTATATTGATCTCAATAAGTTAAAGTTTGGACCAGTTGAAAATAGACGTGTACATATCACCTTCACGTAATTTTTCATGCTACACATTTCATGATGAATCCATGTCATTTGGTTATATTAGGATGAGTAATCATTGTTGGTTTTAGTTGCGATGATGCAATGAAAAACTGGTTTGGTTCTATATCCTGATATGATTAATGGACAGAACTTTTGGAGTATGTTAAAGGAATATAATGACAATTTTGAGTTCATAAAATCTAACACATTTGTAAGGTTGTAAGGACATATATATTTGTGACCAGTGAGAGATTGTTGGCAAAATTTGGGTCATGTATATATATGATACATAATTTAAATGTGTTAGGGCCATTATTTATTAAGCC